TGCTGAGAAAAAGAAGGTGCCGATGCAGTAAGTACCCAATTAGAGCAGCAAAAGGCAAGCAGGAGCCTGGTGGGGGAGACAGAAAGAGCTGAACCAGCAACTTAGATCAATCAGGGTAACTCAGCATTTTTGCTTGGAACCAGCATCTTTAATTAAAACCCTTGTATTTCTTTAATAACTTTGCAAGTTCATAAGACTTTTTCATTGATTTCAGTTACTTCCCATTTTTTCCTTCATAGATTTATAGTGCCCTGACATAATTAAAGATTAAGGGGAACAATAAGAGAGAGTGATTAGTTGCACACATGTATGAAGTGCCCATTCCGCCCCATCCCCAACACAGGTTATTGCTATATCACAGTGAAATACTGGTAGAGATTGACAGTCAGTGTTCTGCACTCCCCCAGAAACCTGTCCCAACACATAGCACGTTTTTTCAAGACCTTGGTGTTTGCCACTGTCCTTTGCTGTCCTGGCTTCGACTGTCAAGAGTTCTGTGTAGCTGAACCCTCAGATTTCCTGGGATCCCACAAAAGGTCAGTAGGCATCAGGATGGGTAACTGTGCTGACTCTCAGAAAGTCTGGTTTGAAAGTTGGAGCATCAGCTGTGATTAGTGAAGGCTCTCCTCACAGTTAAACTGGGTGAAGAAACGAGCACCTAAATTCGTCTGGGGTCCCAGCCTAGAACTCCTGGATCTCATATGTGTATCTGGGCTGCAAGAAGGATTTGATCACAAGACGAGAGGTAATGGCCTCAAGTTGCGCCTGGGGAGATTTAGATTGGATATTAGGAAAGATTTCTTTACTGAAAGAGTGGTTAGACATTGGAACAGACTTCCCAGGGGAGTGGTGGAGTCACCATCCCTAGAGGTGTTCAAAAGACATATAGATGTGGTACTTAGGGACATGGTTTAGTGGTGGGTTTGATAGTGTTAGGATAATGTTTGGACTTGATGATATTAAAGGTCTTTTCCAACCAAAATGATTCTATGAATCTGTGAGGGCTCCTGCTCACCCATGTCCACCAGCTCCCCTGTGAAGAGTCTCCACACTAGGTAGCAGGCAGAGGAGTTCAGTGTTGCTCCACTGCTCCACTCTTCTCTCTCAGCTTGCAGCAGGTTTGCTCTTGGTTCATGCTGCCTGTTCACAGCTGCTGCCCAGTTCCCTGCCATTTGTACCCACTCCCTTCTTGGCACCATCTTGAGCCACATGTCCCTTCTAGGAGCCACCCACCAACGTTCATCAGCCTGAATGTATAGTTTGATATTTTGTGTAATATTTACCTTTACATTTCACTCTTTCAGATGGGTTTTGAGTCATAGATATAAAATCAATTGATTGCATTTGGACGAAAGTTTTGGAGGGAAGAGCTTGCTATCTTTTTAAACCAGTACAGCTATGTACATTTTCTATAGGGTTACCCAATGATAATGATTGCAGGAAGCTGAACCGTTGAGTCATGTTTATTGGAATTTGAACAATCAGATCGTTTCGTGATTTCAAACAATATGTAATATTGCTTTGTGTTTGTTTTGCTTTGGGGAAAATCCTTCATTGCGGTCTATCTTGAATATGAGTCTTTAAAAACATTCAGAACCCACTAAGCTCTTTTCTGTCTTGGCGTGTGATGCCACTGACGATATCTGATAGGTCCTATTCAAAGCTGGGCCATCAATATCAGTTATAATGCAAATACAGAATGCAGTGAACTGGAAGATAAATAGGATATTGTGGCCTTTTCCTGGAACGAAATGTTGACATTTCTATTGCCATTGTTTGCTTTTCCAGCAAAATAAACAATTAGGGAAGAACAGTGACAAACCTTTGCTGTAATTGTAAATTTTACAAACCACTCTATAACTTCTAGGCTTCAGGAAACCTCCAAAATGTTCCCTACCCTGAACAGCATGGTAGAGGCCCTCATTAAGCTGGTGCCTAATCATAAGCAGAGTGCTTTTTGAAGGCACTCGGTTTAAGTATTGTGCTGAAAAGGGGCCCATATCCTTCCAGGTCAGCTCTGATGTGGGGAGTGCTCTTGCTTTTTTAAAAAAGGAAACATACTCTGGAATAAATTGTTGTATTCTCCTAAAAAGTTAGGGAATTTAAAAAAAAAAAAAAACACAACACAAAAAAACCAACAATATCTGTAACTTTATACATTGCACAAGCCTTATAGTGTGGCTCTAGAGGAGGGTGTATAATTTAGATGATTTTGTCCTATCCTAATAGTGTAAAAACTGCTGAAAAGATCTCAGTAAATTGCTTAAATCCATTGCTGTTGTTGGAGCTCGTTCCCCACCGCTGTTTAAGCTATGGAGCCTAGGGAAGCGCCATTATCTGCAGCTTAACTTAAAAGAAGTGGGTAATCCTGCAAATACAGACCTTGGCTGAGTTAACAAGAAGACTGTGGCTTTTTAAATATGCCATCAGGTGGTCAGTGAGGTTTGTGGTCACAGACACCAGGCACAGGAGAGGCAGCTCCCTTCTCCCATAGAGGCAGGGGATTCACCTCCTCCGGGCTTGTTTTTGTGGGGGCAGTCGTGGAGTATTCCCAGTACCTTTTGCAGCCCACAGTATAGGACATGCTGCTGGGCCTTAGCCTCTTCGTCCTATTAAAAGTCTGCCAGGAAACCTACTCCACGGGAAAGCAGTGGTTGTATAGTCATGATGGACATCCTGACCTGCTCCTAACAGCAGCCAGCACTGAGGTAAATAAAACTGAGTTAATTAGGTGGCTTGTACTAATTGTCTACACAGAAGTGCTTTACACTAAGACGTCCGAGGTTTAAGCAAAACGTTAAATTGCTGCGGAGCACAGCAAGGAATGCTTTTTAACAGCATCCTGCTGGTGAGCAACCATGGCATGGTAGCACATCCTCTTCTCTTTTCCTGTGGTAACAGTGTTGATGGTATCCTCCTGAATTTCGGCTCCTTGGCTCTCTCTGCTTCTAGTGTAATTAAAAAAAGAGAGTAAAGAAAAAAGGAAATATGCTGCTGGTGTGCTACAACTTTTTAGGCTGTGATAGGTGGGGTGATGATGGTGAGGGGAACATGGACACTGCGCCCTCAACCTGCAGAACCTTCTAGAAGGGGGCACTGAGCATGTGCAGTGGGGAAGGGTACACTGAGCATGCTCGGTGGGAGGGGCAGCCATTTTAGTGCCCCCTGCACTGCCACCATGAGGAGTGGTTCAGTGCACAGCCTTGGGGCCTGCCCTGCCACTGGCAGCGGTGGCACCAGCCAGAGGGGCAGAAAGCAGTGGCAGAGGAGAGGTCGTTTTAAAGTGAGGTAAGCATGGTCACGAATGGTCGCTATGTAAAGGGGAGAGTTTGGCTGGTGCCACCTTGGCTTGGTGCCAGCTCCTTGTTTGAGGAGTGACACAGATAAACACAGAGGATTTGTGTTGTGAGGCAGCATGAAATGAACGTCCTCTGCTTCTGTGCATCTCCACTGATGGGAGAGGGGGATCCTCTGGCAAATAAGGCTTCTATGAAGTCGGGACAAATCTGGGACTTGCCTTCCTTTGAGGTCCAAGCAGATAGTGCCTGGTCCAGTGCAAATCAACACTAGTTTCTGAACTGACAGAAAATATGCAGTCGCTGACTAAACGAGGTCTTTATCCATTTTCATGAGAGGAAACTCATTCTCTATCAGCTAATGGTGTGATGGTGGCATACTGCAGTATATGTCTTTTGCTTAACATATGCTACTGTTTTATATCTCTGTCCTGATGTTTATCAATACTGTTACTTAAATAAACAAATCCCGTTTTTCTAGCAGTGTTGACAGCAAGTGCATTTACAGAAATTTCCTGTAATTATTAAATTAGATTGCATAAGGCTCGAAAGCGTTTTCTGTCTGGGGCTTTGCCTCCGATATCAGCAAGATGGAATCACTGTAAAAGTGCATCACTTTATTCTGTGGATTATAAATGACGACTTCTCTATTTACATTTTTATGTCCTAAATAAATAATGTGTATATCAAGAAGCTCTGGCATTACCTTAAGTATTTCTGGCAAGTAGTGGAGGGAATTTGGGTTGGAAAGTTCTTATAAAGGAGTTACTGATATATTAAATAGTAGAATCAAGCAGAAAGTTAGATGGAATTTTGCGTTCTCTGGCTTCTTGAAAAGTGTTTTCCATAGAGAAGTAATTAAATGCTTTTAACAAAATGGATTGTAAAGGTTAATTACAGAAGTGTAACATCCCTGCTTTTGTCAAAAGACAGCTGACAGCACCACTTCCTAGCATTCTGTAGGCAGTGGTTGGTATAGTCCTGCAGATAGTATTAATTTCTTTTTCTGTAAAATAAAGATAGAGGCTATAGCAAATGAAAGGAGAAAGATGCTCTACTTGTTGACCATTCTTTGCACAAGACTAAGCCCTGAGGTACAGTAGTGTGGTACCACTTACGTCACTGTGCTTTCCAGTTGATAGAATATAGATGTTTCCCTGTGAATAAAGGCTGCATTGTGTTGTTTACAAAAGGTGAGTGGTGTTTTCAAATGTGTTCCAGTCTACAGGTTGTATTCTCTTCGGTCATCTCATTGCCTATTTGTCGAATTGGTTGGCATCAAGAACAGCATTTGGCTCTGAGATTGCTGGGCTCTCTGAATTTCACTCATTTACTCAGTGTTGCTGTTCTTCACGGGAGAAAACTCACATGGAACTGGGAGGGCTCTTCTGTTATTTTGTGGGGGTTTTTCATATCTTTCCGTCAGCTGCTTACAAAAACTAGTAATTTGAAAATAATATTCCACCAGAATTTCCAAGGGCAAGAGCAAACACTTCAAAAAATCTTCCTCTGCAGTCCTCAAGCAGTATGTATTGTGAAGGTATTCTGGAGGATAGTAGTGGCCAGTACCATTGAAGCACTTAGCTTAAAACTTGAGGATTTTTTCAGTACACTGATTGGTTTGTTGTTTTCCTCAGTGTGCAGCTGAAGAGCTCTCTCCTTAGTTCTGCTTCTGACATGGTAATTTTTCCTGCCTCCTTCTAGTAACGAAGACAGTGTGTGCAGAGCAGTGTGATGGACGGTGCTATGGGCCCTATGTCAGCGACTGCTGCCACCGGGAATGCGCTGGAGGCTGCTCCGGCCCTAAAGACACCGATTGCTTTGTATGTATGAGCTTTCTAATTTTTCTTGTTCCTGGCAGTCACACTGCACATTCTTAATGCTTTAATCCATGAAATTCACAGGTTTGTGCCTTTAATGTATTGCATGCACACTCCCAGATTTAGACTGCAAATTTTAGCATTTACTATTTTTCACATTATATTAACATCACTTATCTACATGATATTACCTATTAACAGATTATAAGATTTGTAAATACAGATCGGGAACCATTAATATGCTAATCTCTATGATTTTTATCTTTTTCTTTTCTGAAATATGCTAATCTGTGATTTTTATCTTTTTTCTTTTCTGAAATTAACTTTTAGAAGTGATGGGGAATTTTTAGAAGTATTTATTGTTATATTTGAGCATGGCTTTTATTACTGCTCTGTGTGGATTTTGTTTGAAAGTCAAGAATACAATTTAGTTTCTCTGTGAAAGGTGTTTCCTATTGCTGCCAGGCTTGATTTACATTCAGCTTTTTTTAGTTGGCATGCTTCTTAGTGGAAATGGAAGGAAAGTGATTTCCAAAATACTCTACCTCAAATGCATGCTGCTACAGGTGCTTAAGGTGAAAAGAGGAAAAGGCTAACTTTTTCCTTAAAAAAGTAGACAACCTGAGCATACAGGCCTTTAGACAAGTTTGTCTTGTTTGTAGCCCATTATTTGTAGCAGTGTAAGCACCTTCAGAACCCAACACTGATCTCAAAAAATGTGTAGCTCATCACACTTGGTTGCAGAGATGAGTTTTGCTAATGTTTTCAGGGGAAGCAAAGCTAGGCCTAACCAAGCCTAGAACTAGAACATGTACAGAGAGGTGGATTTTCAAAGGTACACCAGTGATTGAAGAGACAAATATTTACGAAGTTGGGTAAGCTCCATTTGAAAGGATTGGAAGGAGGGATCTTACAGTATAGAAAATTGCAGATGTTTTGATAGTGTAGGCAAGTGGATCATAGTGAACAGGCAAAACCAAATCTTTCTCTGGCTGGATCTGAAACTCACTCACTGTTCAGGTGTCTTTTGATAGTGGTAGGTGTTGTGCTTCACAACGACATTCTAAATGCTGTTCTTTCACTGCTGATGAAATGCAGTGATGGCCTGACTTAACTGCTAACAGGTTTTCCTAAAGCTGGTCTTTGTGGCTGGGGCTTTGCACAAGTGGATATTCAGCATACGTGGTATGCCTGATCCAACGCTTACTGGAAGTTCTGTGTTGGCTTTGGACCAGAAAGATGGGAAGATTTGATTCTTTCCCATGTTGTGTACAATCTAAATAGGTAAAGGAAAGAGGAAAAATGCAGTTATTGCTCCCATATGACTGTTGAGGAACATCTTCAAAGCTACTGTGTTCATGTGTGTCTATTTTCAAAGGTTAAGGACAAGTTATTTGCAGCATAAGTTCTAGAATACTGCAGCCTGAAAGAAAATTATATAGAACTTTCTGAATTATGGCAGTTATGGAAATATGTATGCTGAAAATCAACTAGCGTGTTTGTCCTGATCCAGCAGAGAAGCACCCAGGGCTTTATTCTCATCCACTTCTGGCCCGAGAGCAATGTAAAAGAAATTCAGCAGGGGTCTGGCAGTTTTCAGAACTAGTCATTACTTGCTTAGTACACACTGGGTGAAAAGTGTAACCCTTTAGGCTATAGACAACTGTGCCTTACTTTCAGCTGAGATACAAAACTTTGGTTTTTTCACTGTGTATTTTCCTATGCTTTCATTCACAAATTAGCAGCATTTAGCACCAAATGCTAGAAGTTTGTATGTATTATCAAAGCAATTACAAACGTATACAAAGCACTGTAGTTGAAAACGGAAAGTTCTCGCATCTTCTAGATGAGCTTTTCCTGAGAAGTGCCATGTCTCTGAAGAGTATTGGTGAGCTTTACTTCATAAATTCGCTAAACGGTTATCAGAGGACTGTCATGTACATAATAGAGTACCTTTCAAGTCAACAGCAGATGTAAGAAAATGTGTTGAGGAAACAAATGAAATTAGTATTTATTAATAAGCAAAAGTACAGCTTATGAAGCATTACAAATCCTTTAGCACATTAGGGCAGCTTGCAACAGCATCCTGTTGCAAATATGGTTTTAATATTCCTAGATAAAATTCGTCCATCCTCCTCCATATGTTGCCATTCAGTCATTTGCATATTCAGTTCTAAAACCAAGACCATAAATCCTCATCTGACGTAACTGCAAGCAAACATGTTTAAACAAAGTTTTAGAGGTGTTCTTATCTTGCATTCAAAATCAAACTGGATCTAAAACTTGAAATGCATGGGAGCATCTGGTTGGGTGCCAGGTGGAACCAGAAAGTGACACAACCCTATTCGCAGGGTGGACTTCCCATCCAAGTCTTAGTAAAGAAGTAACTGACTGTATTTTTTTTTTAAGGGAAAAAAAATAAAATCTGGTTCTGTGAGAAACTTGACAGTTTTTATGATATGCATTTCAAAGAACTAGAAAAGATGGGATCAGCAGTTCAGCTTAGCTCATGCTCCATATAGGGCAGTGCCTTCATCATGGAACTCCCTGTTTGTCCCTTTCAGCAGCAGATTTTGTCCTCCCTTGGTTACATTACTAGACTCTCCTGTCTGAAATCTTCTGACATGACAAGTAACCTCCCTCAGTCCTGCTGGGCCTGATCTAAATGGAGATAAGGACTATTAGTAAAAGCAGCAGAACAGAGGAATCTTCACTTTTCTCTCAGTACCAGCCCTGGAGGGGAGAGGACATGACACAGATGTTAGTATACTTGTTGACTCTTTAAGGATTCAAAACCATCTATATTTTTTACAACTTGGAAAAGGACCAGAAGGATTCATCCCTAGACTAAAACTTCTAAAGCAATCTGGCTTCTGGAAGCAGGTTAGTGAGGAAGCAGAATCCAGTAGCAGTGGTTGCTTAAACTGCTAGAGGGATCCAAACCAGGCTACAGCTTTCATATTCCTATGAAATTTGACATTTACAGTGTGCTTAGTGAATATTACTCCAACAGTTTTTTCTAAGCTGTGGTTAAAACCATAGACACGATATGTGCTGATAGGGAATATCAAACTTGGTGGTTTTTTTCTATTGCTAATTATCAACCTTGTACAGTCAATTATTTTCCCTGCGTACCACTGCTTTCTTTATCCGCACCCTTGCCTCTTCATTTGTCAGGGGCCTGTCAGCTGTGGGTGGCTGAGCTTGAATGCTAACTGATACAAAGTCCTATTTTCTTTTCTCATGTGTGAAGCAACTGACCTTGTTAAACTTGCCACTTAGGGAAATGACCTCATTTCAGTTTTCAGCTGGACGATGGACTCATGCTGTAAGAAATCTAAAAGCTGGACCTCTGAAAGTCATTAGCATTTGTTTAGACTGTCTGTGATAAATAGCTGTTCACTCTTGGCAGTTTTAGAATGTCCTATCAGGTTGTGAATTAGTTGATTGCTAGTAGTAACAGTAGGTGTGAAACAAATTAGTGGTGTTCTGTTTTTGTAGAAAGTGCTGTGACAGTCAACTGTGTTTCAAAATAAGGGGGCTCAGTGGCCACCTTTTGTAAGTCATCTGTTTGCCAAGATCCTAAGTAGCCAAAACGAAGGTTAGAAAACCTATATATCACATTCCTCATTGTTGCAGCAAATCTGAACAATCAAGACTGTATTCTAAACTAAAAAAAAACACCCAAAAACGGCTATATGATTTAATGTAATTTTTTTTTCTCCCTTGTTTTGCAGGCCTGTATGAATTTCAATGATAGTGGTGCATGTGTCACACAGTGCCCCCAGACTTTTGTATACAATCCTACCACCTTCCAACTGGAGCATAATCACAATGCCAAGTATACCTATGGGGCTTTTTGCGTCAAAAAGTGCCCACGTAAGTGCTGTGTTAGCTGCCTTTTCCTGCAGTGATGGAAAGTTTACAAAACAATGAGAGAATGAGAGCTAAGTGCATAGTGCAGTATCTCAAATCACTCCACATGTGCTTGCAGCCTGTGATAACTCAGTCATGTGTTAACTGAAGGCCGTGACAGTCTGGGTTGCTGACGCTTCCCAAGTATCCTGTACTATAGCGATTTTCTTAAAGAAAGGGAATTCACTAGTTTTCTGTTTTCATGACAGTCACTTGTTACATTCATGCTTTAGATCAGTGTTTGTGAATTTCAAAGTGAACTGTTAAAATAGTTAGTGTGATTGTAAAAGGGTATAAATTTCTGTTTCAGAAAAATAACAGTCCACCACCAGTACTACCTGGCACCAAATGCTTTTGTGATACTGATGCCCTTTCCTTAACTTGGAATAATGGTGGTTTGACAGAAAGTTACCGTAAATATTTCTGAGCGGTTCTGTCCCAATGAGGAAAAAACATGCAATACTGACAACAATACAGTCTTAAAACTCCAGAATAAAATTAGAGGGGAAGAGGGAGTTAAAAAAAAGAACAATCCCATGCATGTACACACACATGCTTCTGAGATACCAGACAGATGATGACAAGTAACAGAAAAAATTAAGAGGGTCATCACTTACACAGTCTTTGATACTGCTGTTTTAGTTAGAAAGAAAAATAAAGGGAAACAGTATTTTTGCTCTCCCTTTCATTCCCACCAAGGTTTTACAGTGATGTTGTGCATTAATTATTTTATCCATAAATTACTTACAAGAAGGATGGGTAATCTATAATAAATGGAACCATAATTCAACACAAACCAAAATCCAAATTTTGAATCTCTGTGGAGAAGTTCAAATTGATAGCAAGCTGAGGCTGTGACTGTCAAGGCTTAATTCTGTCCTTAATAGAGTGGTGAGTTTTTTGAAGCAAGATTTTATTTTTTTTATGAAACTGGTATACCATGATCTGCTTAAGGAATATGATTCTCTGTCCAACTATTTAATTGAATTTTTTCACTTTTTTTTTTTTTTCCCTCTAGTATTAAGCTTTCAATTAGGTAGGATCAGTCTATATCCCCTTTGGCAGTTGTTTTACAAGGCAAAATTTAAATATTTGTCATTGTCTTGTGCAGTGTTTTATCCCAGATGTATATATTTGTGTGTATATGAAAGAGACAGTGCAGAGCATCTTGTTTTATTTCTCTCCAATTACTGTAGCTTTTTTTACTACAAATAATAATAAAGCCAAATTGGGGGAGGAGGGAGGGTCAGACAATTCATGGATTTTCGTACATCTCTGAAAACATGCCTAATTTGCTTGCTTATACACTTCTGAAAACACTAAACATTGAATGTTAATGTCAACATGGAAGTGCTGAGATAATTAATAACAGGTAGTGACACAGAGTCCAAAAACATATATCCCAGTGTTATTTAATCCAGTGGTTCACTTTCTGCCAATATCTTCTTTATCTCTTCAGACAACTTTGTGGTAGATTCCAGCTCATGTGTCCGTGCATGTCCGAGCTCCAAGATGGAGGTTGAAGAAAATGGTATTAAGATGTGCAAGCCCTGCACTGACATTTGTCCTAAAGGTAGGCAGTAGTTTAGTATAAATGTTTACTGTAGTCTACACTGTAGTAGAGCAGAGCAGGATGTTATTTTGGTATGAAATACCCTTCATGAGTACATTGTAGAATATTAATAGGCTTTGGATGCCCACAGAACTTTGAGCTGTGTAGGCTGTGTGTGGAAGTACATACAATAGAACAAAAATTTATTAAGTTTTAATTAAGTATAACCAAACCAATTACTTTTGATTAGATGAAAATGAAGGGGATTTCTAGGTCGGTTTTAGACAAATCAGAAAGAATTTTTTTTTATGTTATTTTAATGACAAGTATTTCCTGGAGGTCTTTTAGAGCTGTCCTTTTGTCATTCCAAAGGGGGCCATACTAAAGCCCTGGCTTCAATGTGTGGTCTGTCTCATACTTGTCAATACAACATTAGGTTTCCATTTATTCCCTCTGTTTTTCAGAAATGTCTCTATTTTCCCAGAATCTTCTACCTTCTTTCTAAGTGGCTAAAACAGACTAGACATTTTTCAGTGATGGTGCTGTTGAGAAGACTGAAATCCATAGGTTACTTTGCCTTCCCAAGCCCGTTAGGGAAACTTTCTGCTCCCTGCTCGAAGGTCTCAGGAGCAAAGCACCATCAGTTTTCCCATGTGGGCCTATGCCACTTTTCAGTCCTAATGGAAGCCATATCTGGAAGGGAATTCACAGTGAAGCTGCTGAAAAAGTCTGTAAACCAACAGTCACTCCACATGGCTGAAACAGTGAAACGCAGAGATATCTGCCAGGAGAGGGTACTGACATGCTGAGTTGTAAGTGAAGGCAATGTCCAGCCCTTGGACCTAATTGCAGTAAATAACTTTTTAGCTGGATATGCATGAAAATACATGTGTAGTGTTCCTGTCAAGCTCTTAGCCTCACTCTGTGAGGAGGAAAATTATCACGTGTGTGTAAAAGGCTCAGGTGTATTGCTGGTAGTTGCCATTAGAGGAGCCCAGTTGGAGAGACAGGATACATCATGGAAGTCATGAAGGATTTGTTCCTGGGTGCATCATGTGTCCCAGAAAATGCAACTGAATAACATGGAAAGGCTACACAGAGAAGTTTCCTTGGTGGTTACTAAAGTTTCTCCAGGCCCCAGTAACTTTGTTGGGATGATGAGTAAAGAATTATTTGTACATCCTTTCTAAAGGACCTTATGGCATGTGAATGGTTAGGTTCACAAATCCACCAGAGCAAAAGGAACCTCTTGAGCTACCAGTGTTTGGACCCCTCAGTTTCTGCAGTGAGTAGTGCACAAATAAATGTCATGGCCACCAGGCTAGACTGAGCTCAATTACCAGCTATCTGTTTGCAGCTGGCTTGGGTGGGATTTTGTGTGGTTTATACTTGCCTTTAGACCAGTGTGAAAGACCTTAACCTGTGTGCCAGGATGTCCTCCTGTGGCGGGTACTTTAGCTTCTTGTTTGTTTTAAATTGGTCCATGCTTCTTTGGGAGTATGGGTAAAGTGCGCCCTTTTAACACCTTTCTGCTGCTTTATCTCTGAAAGAAACGAAGAATTGTGTCTAGAAAGCCAGCGTGTTCTGATTCAGTAATTGTTTTTACCTGGTTGTTTACACAAACGCCTTGTTTTGGCAGCGTGTGATGGCATTGGAACAGGGAGTTTAGCATCAGCTCAGACGGTGGATTCCAGCAACATTGACAAGTTCATAAACTGTACCAAGATCAATGGCAACCTTATCTTCCTTGTTACTGGGATTCATGGGTAAGTGACAAAATGTTAAGATGTTATGTCATGGTGCCAGCTGAAATGAATTGCCATCTTAATGATGTCCACAGGCTTCTTTTACAGAATAGCAGATCCAGGATAAATTAGTTTTCTGCCTTCCGTTATGAAGGAAACTGTTACCTTGATCCTTATGATTCAACCTCTAGGAAAAGAAAGATGAAGTAGACTGTTAGCATTAGAAGGAGAAAAGACAACTGTGCTCTTTGGTTACTTTGAGATCCTCGGTATTGCCTTACAAAATAATGGCTGATTAGAGAATAGAAGGGAGAAAGAGAAGTCACCTTCCATGAGTTTGTTTTAAATTTCGTATGACCAGCAGTCTAATGTGCAGAATATGCAGACAGAGTTACTCTCACCTAGCATAAATTGTCTTAGCCTGGGTGGCTGTCACTGCATATACATGCAAAAAAGCTGCCCTCCTGTCAGTCAGTTTTGAAATTTCAATTGCAGAGATGTGCAGAACTCACTGGTATTTAAATCCAGTATTTTGGTTTAAATGTGGCTGTATGTTGAGTAAGTCTTAGTAACAGTTGAAGATGTGGAGGTACAGAACCAGTATTTGAAAGTCTCACTGATGTCTCCTTCTAAAGGAGGATACACCAGCCAGGTAACTAGTGCCTTACTGTTTCCAGTTTGGTGCACTGTGTGTTTGCCATTGTAGCAAAGGTGAATGCATGGTGCAAATGCTGCAAGGGTGGGATGTGTCCAGGGAAGACAGCTGTACTTGTTTTGATGGTCAGCTGAGGTCCAATGCAACTAGCCACTTTCTTGCCTCGTATTCTTTCTGTTATTGAGAGAACACAAATATGATTGTATCTTCTTAGTAATTCAGCCTTTGTGTTGTAACCAGCCATGATGAATTACACGTGACACTTTGAGGTATTTCTGGAGCTACTAAAATAAGCAAAATCCTCAAAATGCACAAATAAGATTAAACCCTTTTGCCCTTTTGTTGCCATAAGTATGCAGGTATTTTTTGGTACATTAACAGTGTAAAGTACTTGATTGCTTCTACCCCTGTGTAGCCTTCAAATTTTAACTTGCTTTTTAGGCTCCTTGGAGCTTTCAACATTGCTTGCAAATGGTTGTCAAGATTTGGTATCTTAAATACAGTTCCCAAACCAACTCCATGTTTACAGCTGTGTGGCATAGCAAAAATGTGTTTAAGTGAACATCTGCAGATTGATCTGAAACAGAATTCTGGCATAAGTAGGGCCAGCAGATTTTTCTTTAGTCTTTCTATAGATTCAGATATGTTTACATTATAATAAAGTGGTTGACACTAGTCTGCTTT